AATTGACTCCAGCTTTAGTTCATGTGTTTAAGTACCTAGAATGGAAAATCATTGCCCTTCTAATCTAGAGGTATTTAAAAGGGAATTAAGTGGTTATTGAAAAGGAACAATGTGCACAGTTGCGGCAAAAGACATTGAGAGGGATGTTAATTTGGAAAGTGATGTGGGCATAATGGGCTAAATGACCTTCTTCTGAGCTGTAACAATTCTGTGATATTGTGATTCTGCGAAGCAAGTGGCTTACAACTGAACTAACATTGTGGTAGGTAGCTATTAGATTAGCCAGTGCAGCAGCAGGAGTACAATAACTGGCCACATCATCCCTGTGATATATTTCATGGGCTCCCATTCTGATTGATGCTGGAAGTATATATGACACCCACAAGCCCCATATTCCCGATCCATTTGTGCACACAATTCTCAGATGTACAAACATTCCCCATACCTTCCTGATATTCACTATCAAAGATCCACTGAGAATCTGGCAAATGAAAAGAGATGATAGCAGATTGTTACAACCTGTAGTCCCAGCCTGGCTGAAGGCTGTTTCAAGATGAAAATGAATGAAAATATAATTTTTCAATGAAGTTTCATTTTCCTTCGGAACCTTGTAGACACTTAGCATTAGAGATGCTTCTGTATGGAAATAACAGCCTACTATGGCCTGCCTAAAGCTGAGCAATGATTTCTGAGGAATTTTCGATGAGTAGTATTGTACTGAGAAATGGTATGATTTTCCTTTATAGCCAGTATAACCAATGAAGGCAAAGCCATTTCAAAAGCAGTGCAGCTTTGTATTAATTCTGTAGTCTTCTACATTGTTGATTGTAAATCATTCCCAGTGCCAACCCATCAGAGCACAGGAAAAATGGCACAAATATAAATTTTATTAACTGCACAGAGCAACATTCACAGAATCTTTAATTGAAAATCTAAGTCCGTTGACAACTCTATTAAATTGAAGCTGAACTTAGGTTAACCAGTTTGCAATCATATTATTTTCCAGGCTTCATCATTATTTGAAATGAAAGAATTAGAATAGTGAGGTTTTCTGTGCTAGTGACCTTCCTTATTCACTCTTCCTTTGAATCCTGCATCTCCTAGGTTCATTGGAATCTTCCCTACTTTCAGAAGCAAAGGGACTTTAGTCAGTCACAACTCTTATGGGAAGACCCAATACGAGTAGGTTTTGTGTGTGTGCAGAATATAAGTTCAGAATCAGAACAACTTTTAGGACAGTCTGTAACTTCTCAGTTTTCATGAGTTTAACTATTAGTTACTTGGCTAAAGTACCTTAAAGTTAATACTCAGCAGAGTTTTCATTTCCTTGCTTCACTTCAGAGATGTTTGTGTGCGTGTGTTGATTTTTAAAGGAGTCGATATATATATAATCCAATGATAATGATCATGCATTGTTAATTAAGTCTATTTAAGGTAATAAACCAGTTATTTGCCCTTTACTAAAGAAACCTGGCAGGCCTGTTCAGGATACTGAAATTGACACAGTCTGAGACCCTTATATTCAGCCTTAACATTAACCTGGTTATGTTTAAAATTTGTTCGGGGAGTGGGACTTGGAGGAATTGATGGCTGAGGTGGTGGAACGGGAGAGCCATTCTTTCTCTTGGTGACTGCCAAAGGCAGCCTGGACCCAGTATCAGCCTGGTTCAGTGCTGTATCCTGGGTGAAGTGGGAACCCTAGCAGGGCAAGGGTATGTACAACCACCTTCTTTCTGCTACCTCACTCTCACAGGGCTACCACTCACTCTAACTCTGTCACTGCGCACACCTCTCGGCAAGGCTCATAGATGAAAACTCTAAGCATTACTTGCATCGTCTCCACTCAATGTCTCTCACACACCTCATACTTGCAAATTACTAACCATTCCTGCCCTCTGTACTACCTACTCACTCACTGGGGACATCTCCCCACCTCTCCTGCAGGTAACTCACTACTGACACTCTTTCCTATTATACTAAATTCCACTCTTTTGCCTCATACCTGGGTCAAAAAGACTAGGACTGGTAAATAGCGAGGATGGTGCTGGTGGACATGAGTCTCCTCATTCCCTATGGGGCAAAAATACTGGATTTGACTAGTGAGATGACAACAGCGAGGAACCCTCAGATCCATGCCAAATAGAGATACAATAGTACACATGCCTCCACAAAGCCCATCATGGAGCAAATGATAGGAGTGCTCAAAATGAGATTCATGATGCCTGGACCAATCAGACAGTGAACTGTAAAAACCTTACTGTGATTTTTTTTAAAAATCTACTCACTGAGAACTCGCTGCTTCAACTTTTGACCATAGATCATTGAATTATTTAAGATTCATTTGTTTCTATTTAAGTTATGAGTTTCCTCCGGGTGCTCCAGTTTCCTCCCACCTTGCTTTTGTCCTAAGAGTGTAGAATTGCACAACACTGTGTATTCTCATGACCTTCGGCTCCTGGAGGGAAGCATGATTACGGGTCCTGTGCCAAGCAAAACCACGTACACACTACCTTGAAAGCCACATGCTATCTCACATCATTACTCAATCAGATTGTCTCTGTGTTGCCTAAAATGTCACTACCACAGGGCCACTCTCCTCACTTTTACCTCATCCAACAATGTACTGTTCCTGAAATGAGACTCTTGAGCTTTGACTGCAACCAACAGAGGGGGCAGTTGCACCTTCCTGTGCCAGAACTACTGGTCTCAGTGTAGTTAACTGGCAGAGAAAAGGTAGAATATCCTGTGATAAATCCCCTGGTGTATTTGAATGACACATCCCATCCACGTGAGTGTCTGAAGGTACTTCCCTGATTCCTGGGGAAGAAACCACACCGGGAGTGAGGTCAAGGTGCCCCATTACCCTCTAGCCTTGCTGTTGATGCTCTGAATCCATGGCGACGTTGATGAAGTGCTGGTCTGAGAGCATATCCGACAGCCACTTTGTGTTCTCTCCAGGACTGTGGCGACCCTTTCCATGGATACAGCTCAGCCAGGCCACGACAGTGAACAGAACTTGTTTGTAGTCACCCAGCCTGTTCTCTAATCCACGAATACCTCTGCTGTTCTGCCTAATATTCCCCTGCCTCCCTGCATCTCCAGTTTGTTTCTTCCACTTGAGAACAGAGGCTCATCACCTATGTGGGGCTGAACATGGGCCTGGTTTTTTGCAATCCTCCAAGTGTCAGAGGCATCAGCATTGCTTCCTCCATCATCTCCAGACCCAGGTTAGTGTTATGCTCACCAGAGTGTGGGCCTGAAATTACTCTAAATTATATACCACCACCCCTTGACATCTCAGTAATCCTTTATTCCCTTACTGATTAGAAGTCTATCTTTGTCAGCCTTGAAAATACTTAATGATAGGCTGTGACTTTTTCACTGGAGAGGAGGAAATTGACACATGACCTTATAGAGGTTTATAAAATCATATATAGGGCATATATAGGGTTAGTGGTAGGTGTCCTTTCCCTAGGATGGGGAATTTCAAGACTAGGGGGCATATTCTTAAGGTGAGAGGAGAGAGATTTAAAAAAGACATGTAGGGCAATTTTCACACAAAGGGTGGTTCGCGTGTGGAATGAACTTCCTGAGGAAGTGGTGGATGTGGGCACAGTTACAACATACTTTAACAAGTACTTGAATAGTAAAGGTTTGGAGGGATATAGGCCAGGAGCAGGCAGGTGGGGCTAGTTTAGTTTGGCATTGTGTTCTGCATTGGCTTGTCAGCATGGATGAGTTGGACCAAAGGGTCTGTTTCTGTGCTATATGACTCTATGACTCAGCCTCCACAGTCCTCTGGTGGAAAGAATTCCAAAGATTGACTAACCACTCAGAGAAAGAAATCCTTTTTATCTCCGTCTTAAATGGGCAACCATTTAATCACTAATATGCTTAAAATTTTCTACATGTTAGCCCAAATAACATACAGGGAATTTGTGTTGAGTCAGATGTATGGAAGTGTTATAAATGCTATCCACGTACGTTAATACAACACCTCAGATGTACATATAAAGCCTGGGTTCTATACCTACTTAGATTACAATTACATCATATATTTAGTTGACTGGCTGACTAACAGACTGACTACCATCAGAATATATAGATCATAAGATGGAGACCTTTCATCGTGGAGCGCCACACATCAGGATGTAATCTAACTGTGTTAAAGGTTCAGTGTTTGTTAAAAGTCAGTGAAAAATGAAGAACGTAAAATAACACTTACATTTATATGGTTGTTTTAAAGTGCAAGTTCTAGTCAATAGACCAAATTAAGACGTCACAATCAATGTGTAATCTGATATTTTCAAGTGTTGGTCTACGTGGCCATGTAAGTCAGATATGTAAGACGAAGACAGATTCTATTGGTTTGGCATGACTCCTGAATTTGAGGAAGGCACATTTAAACAGAAAATAAACATATGTCAATATAGATTTGAAAAACAGGTGGTGCATTATCATAGATTGGATAGCAAACCAAACCTGGATCCTCCTTTTCCATGTATTTCTGAGTTGGCATATGGATAATTGGCAAATTACGACAGAAACTTGTATCATCTTTCCAAAAGCTAGTAATGTAATTATCATCCTTCCCCTTTGGGAGGAAAAATATAATTGAGGTCCTGTCAGCAGACTTCCTATATATTCATGCCAAATGAAGGAAGTGAATAATTTTGGATTTTCACAACATTTTATGGTGACACTCTTGAAGAGAAAGACTTTCGTTTGTATTAATATCAGTATTATAAAATTTATGATGGGATTTGGAATTACAAGCAGTTAAGATTCTTGTATTATATTGCAGAAATTTAAGAATGCAAAAGAACTTTTAAGAATAGGGAACACCGAATTGGCCTAAAATGCAAATATAGTTTAATTATTCTAAACACTGTCCATGTTGCATCTTACCATTATCGCCAATTTCGTTTTCCCTCAACAAATAAGTATAATTTTTCTATTTTAATAGAATGAGAACTGAATTATGATCATTGTATTTCCAGCACCTACTGAGGTAACGTTTTCATTTGATGTGGGTAATGGCCCAGAGGAGCTAACAGTGAGATCTCCAAATCCTTTGAATGATGACCAATGGCATCGGGTAATTGCTGAACGCAATGTGAAGGAAGCAAGCCTTCAAGTGGATCTACTGCGCAGGGATTTCAGGAAGGCACCAAGTCAGGGTCATACTAGACTGGAACTCTACAGCCAGCTCTATGTGGGTAAGTTGTTAAAGCTAATTTGCCATTCTATATCCTTACAGACCTATCTAATTCACATCAATTTCATTATTAGCAAGCACAACATGCATTTTAGAAAGTCATGTTGACTTTTAATTCATTAACTAATTTTTCCAATTAAGGAATAATTCCATCCCATATACCATAACCGTTAGTAGCCAAAGTCTGAGATTTATGATCTTAATCTTAATAGTTTTCTCCTCTTGTTTGCATATTCATTCAAAACTTTAGCTGGAAACTAGAATCTAAGGATGTTGAATGAAATTTAGAAATGACTATCATTGTCTTTGATTTGAACTCCCATTAATACTGGATGCTCCACCAACTTAATGGTTTAATGGTTACAGTAGAAAAGAAAATTGAAGTGGTAGGTTCTTTCTCACTATTGCTCCTTTAATGGTTGGTTAACAATAGCAACTCATCAGCAGCAACTATTGCCACCAATGAACCAAGGTTAAGGCTGAAAAACTGATGGAACTCCTGACTAAATATTGATTGAGGAAAGTAATTATCATGAATTCATTCAGATTTGATGGACACGTACACCCTCAAAACCCTAAAAACAACTGAACTTTTAAGATTTATGTCTATTGCAGTGGAATTTTAAAACACAATAATTTATTCAAAAAAAAGAGCAGTATCAGAATTCTTCCTAAACCCTCAATTGATTAAAACTGAGCAGCAAAAAGAACCTGTATTTGTGTTCAGAAATTTCAGTTGGCAACATGATTTAACAACTGAAATCACAAGTTGCCTTCAAACAGGAATTAGGTCAGAAGAAACATATGATGTGAGATTAGTCTATTTAAAAGTATCTACATTACTTCAAATTAAAGATCAAGTTTGCTTAGTTAGAGAGTCAAATAAAAATGCACAGAAACAGTCAACTACATTTTACCATTCATCACTAAGCTGGTAATTCAATTTTGTCAACTTGTCAGTTAAAAGTGACAGAGAGTTTGATCTTCATGGTATTTCCTGCTACTGACCAAAAAGGCTTCGAGAATGATTGTGAACACATACTTGGCTAGCAGTGCAGCCACTAGCACATGTGCAACTTTTCCTGGCAGTCAGCAGCAGGAGCATTTGTGAAATATTGAAATTCAGTTTATTGGTATTATAGTGTCTCAAAGTAAAGCCCAGGACAATAGATGCATCAAAAAGGGAAAATGCTAAAAATAAAGTCATGATAGTGACAGCAACAATAACAATGATTATATCAGTTACTGCATATCAGAATAGAAGAAATTATATCTACTGAAGAACTGTGTGCAAGCTAAATTGTCCAAACATTTCATACTCAGACCAGCAGGAGATTAGGTGTTGTTGAAAATAGTGGGGAAAGTTCAAAAAATGTCAGCAATGAGTTGTGGAGCTACCATGTGTTGGAAAGGCTTTGTGGAGTTAGTTTCTGTGCATCAGGGCAGCTCAGTTGGCAGTAAATGGGATTCTTAATCCAGAATCATGGTCATGAGCCTCATATTGGGAGATAAATTTTGTTTCATATTTTATTTAAGAGGGTAATAAGCTGTATTCAATTAATTGAGTAAGAAACTATTGGACCAGATAGTTTGTCTTCAGTTCTTTGATAAATAAGGTTTGTTCCATTATGAAACGTTATGACTGATATATTCATTGGGAGGCATCTGGATTTATCACTGAAGGAACCAGTTATTATTCTGGCAATGTCACTGCTTTCTCATTGGCATTTCCCCTCTTACTGTCACATGGTTTTGCCGTCCTGATCTTAATTTTGAGGCATACTTTTTGGGTAGAGCATGCAGTGGATGCAACACTGTAACTTCTGCATCAGTGTAACTGCATTTTGATCTTTTCATCTTCCACATATAGTATTTTCCCAGATGACACTCCTGGCATCCCTGTGGTATTTGCCACCCCTAATAGTATGTAGCACTGGGTAAGGTTTATTTAGGTTAGTCACTATTACTAACCTTTTTGTGTCTTGGGCTTATCTATTAGTTATTGGTGGAAGATACACCACCATTGAGGATCTACAGAAGAGGCACTGTTCTCAGATAACAAGAAGGTTAATTGCAAAACAACTGTATTTGGTCTGACATAATTACTGGTAGCATAGGGAGCTGGTACAGGAGAATTCCTAGTCTCCAGCCACAGATGGTGTGTGACATCAGTATAATGAGTAGAGACAATATAACATTAACCTCATAAGGACATTACTTGATAAAACACCAACATTAGGTACTCACACTTCCTGGAACTTTCATTGATCTCAGGGGAGTGAATATAAAACAGGACAGGTAATTCCCTCTTAGCTGAGTGAATGCATGCGCACGCAGATGCTCCTACATTCCGCACATGATGATTGATATCGGAATGCTGGTTGCTGCTTTGACTTCCCATTTTAAGTGGGTCAGAACCCTCAGAATTCTCTGAACTTAAGGGGCTTTTTTGAAAGCTCCAGAAGCAGGGGAATTGCCAATTAAAATTTCAATTTTCTGAGTCTGTTCCCATGGAGTCAGCTGCATCTGGAATTCTATGCTGCAGAAACGACTATCTTGCCAACAAAATTTCTGGGTTATTTGCTTTAAAAGGACGAATTCTCCTGATCATCCCAACAAGGCAGTATCCGAGATGTTTATATCATAAGGTGTTTATGAGTACAACGTGGCAAATAGCAACAATCTGAGGCAGGAATTTGTTACATCACCCTGGGCTGGGAGGGGGGGCAACCTAGTGATTCAAAAATCCAAGTTGCAACTAAATGTGGGTCAAACAGATCATAGACCAGTACAGTGGTAGAAGCAAAAATGCTCATAACATTTAATAAGTATTTAGAAGTCCACTTGTGATGCCAAGACATACAAAGCTATGGATCAAGTGCTGGAAAATAGCATTAGAATAGTAAGGTGCTTGTTTTGACCAGTGCAGACTCAGTCGACAGCAGGGCCTTTCTCTGTGCTGCAGACCTCTACGACTCTGTGTATTGCTGCAGATCTCACATCACATCTAGAAGCTCAGTGATGTATTGGAGACGAAACCCAGAATTTGAAAGCTTCTGACAGTGATCAGCTAAAGCTCGCATTTAAGTGTAATTAACACATCCAAAAGAAGAAGGATGGACTTCCTTGAATTGTGCTTTTTCACGTTGTTAGCAGAGTTTACAGTGTTTTGTTCCGAAGTGTAGCTACTAACTTTTAATATAGCAAGGTCCCAGATTTGACCCATACCCAAAAAAATTAGTTTGGTGGCCTTGGTTTAGGATAATTGTTGGTCCTGAAATAAGGTGAGCTCCATTAACCTTTTGGAGCATCACTTTTGTATCTTGCAATGCCACCTGACAGGCAGGTGAACCTTAATTTAACCTCAGGCAAGAGACTCCATTTCCATCCCTCTGTCAGTATTGGACTGAAGTACCAGCACAGACTAGATTCTTAAAGCCTAGAGTAAGACAAACAACAGATTTTGAGCTCACATTACTTCCTAAACATTTATGAGGAAGCATTGACACTGGCTATCAATAACAGAACATGTTTCAGAATATAGAGACAACAAAGTGTGGAGCTAGAGGAACACAGCAGGTCAGGCAGCATCAGAGGAGCAGGAAAGTTCTGAAGAAGGTTCCTGACCCGAAATGTCAGCTTTCCTCTTCCTCTGCTGCCTGGCCTGCTGTGTTCCTCCAGCTCCACACTTTGTTATCTCTGACTCCAGCATCTGCAGTTCTTGCTATCTCAGGTTTCAGAATATCTTGTCTCTGCAGCATTTGAAAGAAATGAATGTTAAATTGAGGGAATTTACTCTATTAAAGCAATGATGCTGCATCATTTGCTTTCATGGACATATCAATCCTTACATAAATTTAATGTGGAACTACAGAACCGACTGAACCTAAAGATTGCAATATTTTCTGCCTTGGCCAAGGCATCATTTGCTTTCTCTGAATTTGACAACAGTTTTATCCTGCTTAGAGCCACCCTCCATCCCATAGGTTTAATTTTCTGATGGTGTGTTCTCAACAGTAGATTTGATACAAATTTCCAACAATTTTCTAGGCATTGAATTCTCAGCAACAGTTCTCCCCACTAGAAGTATGAAAGCAGAGGTTATCCCTTTTATTCCTTCTAAAGGACACGAATACCTTCTCAAGCCAGCTGCTATTGAAATGATTCGTTCCATTTCTGTCCTCATAAGTCACAGCAGCTGAATTACCTAAACATACAACTGTCCTTTTAAGAATACTGTTACTTCAATCACCAACACACCACAGCTTTGTCTCCCAAGCTGACATCACCTCTCATGAATATGAATATATATATATGTTACACAGTTGCCTCCAGGCTGATGTATAATGCGTAATATGAATGTGTAGTTGTTTGTGTACAAATGGTTTTCACTTAACAATTAGGAATTGAAAATCCACTCTTTATCATTTCAAGTTTTCCTTATTTATGAAGTTCACTAGTGGTATATTGTAAGCATCTGATGGTCATGATTTGCCCCACTGAAATTCTTACCAATTATGATGTTTAGTGTGGTTTCAACTTTGTAAGTGAAATGTAGGTAGTCCAATAAAGGTAACAGCCCTTTATTTCCCCCAATCTTTGCTGATTACAAGCTGATGAAGATACTGAAGAAAACAACCTATTGTCATTGATAAATATAAACTTTAAAAGGCTGTAAATTAACCAATTATTTTCATAAAGGATGGGGCCTGATAAGATTATATTGACCCAGCCGCCAGTGTTCATACATATGTGAACAGGAAGCATAAATGTTTTAACTCATTCATAACACCTGTTGACTTCTGCTAATGAATAAATTCCCACTGACTGAAGATTTGAAAAGTGAAGAACAATTTGAAAAGTAAATCTTTCATTAACTATCAGTATTTTACATTTCAGGACAATTTAATTTTGCAGCAAAACAATCAAACTTTTATTTGAGCTCAATATACAAATAGTGTGCTGTTGTGCTGCTTGCTGTGTGCAGTTTAACCCCCTACATCTGGCAGAAGCCAGGTCATCGGGTGGGGTTGTGTTTTGGGTGTAATAGACAGTTAAAATTAAATTAAGACATATCTACTCCATTGATGCACCAATCTGCTGCTTGCAGTTTAAACTTGCAGGTATCAAGGATACAAACCTCCTGGCAGCAAGATTTTTTTTAAGTTCGCAGATCAATTTCCAATGATATAATCAAGATATGATCTGCCATTTAAGCAGGAAGGCTGAGTGAATGAATAGTGTTGGTTTCCCAAACAGGTGAATCTAAAGCAAGAAGACTCAGAATTGGGTTAGGAGACATCATAGTGCCCTTGCTCCTTGTTTCCCTCAATCACCTCTCACACTCTCTCTCCCACTTTCCTGACTGTTGGAGAGTCCCCTCACAGATCCCAAACAGTGGTCACTTGATATCAAAACCCTCACGACAATCGGTTGAGCAGTGATTTTTGCCATTATTGCAGCACCGTGTATGAAGTCGAGAAAGTGTACCTGAATGTGAAATTAAGGTCTAGGAGTTAATATCTTCAGCAGGCTTATTGCTCTTGCATGAAATTGGGGCCTGAAGGAGCATGCCTTGAATTACCCTAACAGGGCCAATGTGTCAATTCAGTTTGAGTCACAAGGTACGATAGCATTTCAGCTCCAATCAGTTCTAGCCAATTTGTCAGGCCAACTGTAGCCAACAGTTCTCGTAAAAAGAACACAGCAGCTGCACTAAATGTAGTTCAAGGGCTGGAATTTTCTGGTTCTGTAGGTGGCGAGAAGAAAGGTGGGAGGGGACACTTAATTTGTGAGAGATGGGTAAGGCCAAAATTTAGAATCCTGATGACAGGATAAACTTTTGCAATTAAGTTCTCTGACTTTAAACAGTCGGTCAAACTTGTCAAATATAGAAATTGGGAAACCTATTTGCATGTATTTATATCTCATTAAAAGCCAGGTCACCTGAATAAGGAGCCCCTTCCCAATTAAGTTCTCTCCAGTCGAGAAATACATATGACTGCATGTAAAAAGCATGCACTTGGCAAGGTAGACGTCCCTCTAGAATAGGAACAACTAGAACAGGCATAGTTTGGAATAAGGGTAGCTTAGTTAGCTGGGCAGCTGGTTTGTGATGTAGGGTGACCCCAATAGTATAGGTACAATTCCTGCACTGGCTGAGGGCACCATGAAGATCCTGCATTCTTGACCTTGCCCCTCATCTGATCCATGGTGACCTTCAGTGTAGGTACTTCCTTGATGCTTTAAATGTGCTGAGGCACAAAGAGAATGGTAATGATAGTAGGCTCACATTTTTACGTTCATAAAATAAGTTTTCTGCCTCAAATTGTGCCCATTTTGCACCTTCTTTGGAAAATATGTTTTTCCTCAAGTTTCCTGTCAAACTCACTTCCAAATTGATCTAAATGAACCATCATGAAGTTGCAGACTAACACAGTATTTTAAAAAGAAATTTTTTAAACAAATTCTTAATTTATTTCAATGTTACTACTTGGTAAATTTTCCTTAGAACATCTGAAAATGAGTTTATCACAAAAAAGTAATTTAAATCACAGTGTAAATGACTGAGTAACCCTGTTTTAAATTACTGAAAATATTTGTTTTAAAAATATGCTGAGCTATTTACTGATTCGTTTGGGGTACAATTGTGTATTCCAAGGTAAATTTAAAAGAACTTCCATTGACAACTTTTTGAAACATATCTAATAGTGTCCTTATGCTGAAAAGTTTTAATGTGGTTTAATTTGCATATCTTCCAAGAAAACCAATAAAAAGTGCAACTGGCAGAAACTATCACTGGTGATTCATGTGGAGGAGCTGTCAATTATGGGAGAGCACATCAGGTCTTCTGGGACCCTTCCTGCAGGAAGAAGTGGCTTTTGTAAATTAGGGAGATGGAGACAGAGGCCATGGACAAAGGACAAAGAAACAAGAAGAAGAAAGTCAAGATTTGTGAATAGGAATCCTTTGATAATGCTTGGAGAAATAGAAGAGGGAATTGGAGCAGGCATGGAACAGCTGAATACTTTAGCAGAACAAGTGACAGCATCGCTGAGCTGAAGAAACCAGGAATTGGAGCTGAGTTCCAGACTAGTAGGTCATCATTGAAGAGCCAAGGTGATGAATAGTGCAGACCAAAGAGATTCGCAGAGGTAGGAAGCCAGGAAGTGGTAGTCAAGTGAGCAAACAGCTGCCAGAAACTTAGATGAATTATAGGGGCCAAATCCCTGATTTTGAGAGGCCATGAGGAGAGAAAGATACCCTTTATGTCTGAGAACTGGCATAGGTAATTGGGTTACATAGCTATGGGAAGTTAACAGTAGGAGCACTCTCACTGCAGTCATCTCCTGGCTGATCAGGAGTTAAGTTTTAAAACATTATCCTGATAAATTTGCAACATTGGGCAAACATCCATTGTAAATAGTTAATTCCCTTAAGCTCGACTTTTCCATTAATGTCTATAAGGATTCATTACTGATGGAATAAAGAGTCCTTCTTTCATAATCTTTTTATAGTGGATGTGGTTAAATTGCCTGTTATATTTATTCCCCATTCAGCCATGAGCAGTTCCATGAGTGAAACCTGCTTCTAGGTGCAATGCTTTTAAAACTAGTGCAAATAATTGCAAGAACTCAAATTGCATAGACCAAACTTCTGCTTAAAATTCCACAATCTTTTGTGCCAGTTACAACAATATGGATGCAATTGGATTAAAAGACGCAGTTCACTTAAGCAATAACTTTAACTTGAAACCTCAGTTTAATTAATGCATTCTTCATTTTATGGTTTTCTTGTTTCACAGGAGCCGCTGGCGGTCTACGAGGTTATCTTGGTTGTATCCGGTCTTTACGAATGAATGGTGTTACTCTCGACCTTGAGGAGAGAGCAAAAATTACTCCAGGGGTGAAACCTGGCTGCTCAGGCCATTGTACCAGTTATGGCATGTATTGTCGAAATGGTGGAAAGTGTGTGGAGAAGTACAATGGCTACTCGTGTGACTGTATTCATACTGCATATGATGGTCCCTTCTGCACTAAAGGTAATGCCTTAATGCTGATGAACCTTTGGTACTGAGGTTTGGGGTAGACCTGCCACCCATTGACGATGAACGGTGCAGATATTCTAACTCAGAATGACAGTTTGGGAATCAGGCCAACTAGTACTTCTCAATATTATACTAAAATATGCCTTTAAAATATCAAGTAAAACAATTATCAATATTTGAATATTTTCAGAATTTAACTGGAGATGCTTCAGGAAGTTAAAAAGATGGACAACTTAATCACAAATCCAGGTTCAATATCAGTCTGAAAATTATTCCAACATATACCAATGGCAGGCATTAAGAGTGGGAGAGATTCCTGGTCAGCCACATGCTGGAAAGAAAATTGAAGCTTCTACTGTTTTTGAGGAAAAATGTATAATACTATATTTTGGGATTTGGATTTTAAAATAGAGGCAGATGGATATGAACCAATTTTGTGAAGGTCCTTTTATTTAAACAGGTCAGAAATTAATTTGGAACAGTGACCTCACTGCATCAATTCTAAGAAAGTAACTGCAGCTAAGTGGTTTGTAGAACCTCTGGAATGTTAATGGATGTAACGTATATATTGCTGAATTCACAACAGACTAGAATGCCATTAGTTTTAGCATTGAGTTAAGTTCAGAGGAATCCAGGGTTCAAGTTCAGAAAGGAAAACAGCTTCTCCTATCAAGAGAATTAAGATTTTATTTCAGGAAACTGTTACTCATCCTAACCAAATTTATGGAGTTCCTAAGCTGGGAGAACTTGGATAGATGTCTTTAGGTTATTGGATCTGAAGAAGTTTGATCGTTAGAATTGTTGAAGGTTTATGCCAATTAACTTTGAAGGGAATCATTAAACTGTCTCCATGATACAGTGAAAAGAAACTGGGAAGAGCTAGTTAAGTAAAAACTCGAAGTTATAATCAATAAGTTACCCAACTGCGTGCATGCATAGCTGCTCCAGTGTTCTGCCTATGGTGATCCAATCACAGCATTGGCTTCACTGCAGTGCATAGGACTCAGAGACGTGCACAGCTGGTAAGAAAATTAAAGGGAATGCTGGTTAGGGTAGGAATTTAATTTTCCCTGGAATAGAATCTGTAAATGCTAGGGAACAGGTTGAAACTTTGTCTTACTGCTTGTGTTAAGATCTTGCTAACTATCTTTTATATATTGCTTTTTTACTTTATGTGATAAACTTATGTTCTGTTGTTAATGAATAGCTGCAGCCTTGTGTGAACATGCTTCAATGACTAACCTCCATTTTAGTCAATTATAAGACGTAAAACATATGATCTATCCTGCTAGGTTTCAGTCTGGGATCTGACATGTGCAGTATTACCATCAGCTGAGATCATAACCTCATTAACATTTCATAGCTCTGGACTATACCATATGTGTAAAAGGGTACATTGTCAAAGAAACGTGAATTCCCTTGCAGTGGGGAGAGCAACTTGATTCAATTGGTTCATTGGCTGTTAGTGTGGATCTGATTAGTTTCAAGAGTATGGAGTTTGGTCCCAATTCTGTCTGGTGTTGATTTGGGACCTGCCTCCTTATCTTACATTTGGTAGAGATTGTAATGCTGTTGGTCGGACTTGCTTCCATTTCAGAACGACTTCTTTGGTTCTTTGTCTAAAGAGTGACATTAAAAGCAAGCAGGAGAGTCAAATTATATTTGAAAGCTAATAGAGCCATTTACAGCACAGGAGGTAACTCATTGCACTCATGGAGAAAAAGATCAGAATAGACTTGGTGAGTCCAATAGCCCATTATTTGTCTCTTATAGCATTCTATACCTCTGTTGAGGTTTGTCGCAATTTTCTTTTATCCTGTCAGGAAAGTAATGGACCTGTTAAGAAATGCATGAAAGCATTATTTCTCACATTGGAAGTTGTCTATTAATGTAAGCTTTAAGTGTTAACAATGGATTTTATAGAATCTCCTACAAACACTAAAATCCTAGGTAAATTCTTCTTCAACTTTAACCTCTTGAGCATTAATCATACCCAAATGATATTAGTATAAATGCATATTTAACTTTTCATATTGTCACTATTATAGACACCTGTTTGAGTATTTTGGTTATTTTGTGTATTTGAATAATGTTCCTACCAATATTTTCTAAGAATTCAAATTATAACTAATTAAGATGTTTGACAATAGGAATTGAAGGCTCAAACTTTGCTATTTTCGTTGATTATGATTGCCACAGTACATCATTCAAAGTTATGATAAGTGACACAGAAGCCAGAAAGTATATAATTATGCTCCTTACGTATCATCTTAAGTAAATGTCAGACAGTGTAGAGAAGTGTTTAAGGAAGTGCAGTGCATTATTAAAGATTACTAAACGCATGAACATAACTCAAACATATTTTAATTACAGCTGTTTTCTGTATATATGCTTATGGGAGTCGTACAGTAAAATCTAGTTCAACACAAACATTTAGAATCTAGCTGGATGATTGCTCCCCTAGGTGCAGATAGAAATTTTGTTCCGTATACATTCCACTGCGAAGGAAAACCGAAAGTGGGGCAATCCATCTTATTGGGCCCCAGAGTTTATATAACAGGCAGGAAAACACACCGACGCTTCATTGGAGGCTGCACTGAGGATGTTACCCAGCAAGGTAACGAAACGTCTGTGAAACAAGAAACCAGCTCGGCGAGCCAACCAACCTCAACACCCACAACCCGAGCTACAAATCTACTCCAAAACCTATGGAATAAATTTGAGGAACAATTTTCATTCCTTTATATTTACAGTTCTCTTAACAATAGTCTTGTCTCTCCTCATCTCTAACCTTTTTGAAATTCTACATTCCATGTTCCTCTAATTTTAGAACCTTGAACATCCTCCAACTCATTTCATCATTGTGCCTAATTTGTCTTATGCTTTAAGCCAATATTGGTACCTGTGTATTCTGAGACTGGTTATGGGTATTTTCAGGCTGTGGGCATCTTCAAATATGTTGTCCCTGAGACTGCTTGCTTTTTATTAAGGAAAGCTCTTCAACTCCTTATGTAATATCACACTCCTTTATTGATTTATTTATGTCTTGTTTATGAATACCATGTCCTGATGTTGTAATAATAATTCCAGAAAATTGGCATTCTCTATAAGGCCTGTGTTCTTCATTCTTAAAATCGTAGAATCCCTACCGTGTGGAAGCAGCTATTCAGCCCATCAAGTCCACACGGACCCTCTGAAAAGCATTCCACCCAGATCCACTGCCCCCGCCGTCCACAACCCTACATATCCTATGCCTAACCCACCTAGCCTGCACATCCGTGGTCATGATGGGCAATTTAGCATGGCCAATACACCCAACCTGCACATCTTTGGACTGTGGGAGGAAACCCACACAGACACAGGGAGAATGTGCAAACTCCAAACAGACAGTTGCCTGAGGCTGGAATCAAACCCGGGTCCCTGGCACTGTGGGGTTGCATTGCTAACCACTTGTACATCTCTAGCATTCTGGTTGTGTTCCTTCTGTGTTCTACCACGCACTAGGAGATCACCATATAGCTTCCCTGTTCACATTTCTAAGGAAATTTTTTCACAGCAAAGAGATCCCAAGTTATCGATGGTTTTGCAATTCCAATCGAATGGTGTAATAAGGGAAGTCAGTAATCTAGACACTTGAGCTACGTATATCTGCCAGAACCTGCTGTTGGTATCCAGTTTTGTGAAAAACTTACTTGTTACCAATTTTACTATCAAATTATCCGCCTAAACTTTTGAACCACTTTAAAAATACTTGGGGGAATTCTTTCCCGTCTTCATGCTGAAGAGCCAATCCACTATCTCTAGGAGACAGAGATGAATACATGCATTTCTGTTCAACAATCACATATTCTGATTCCTCAACATACATTATGTTTCAGCAACATTTCATCCCATATGAATAAACTTCATGGTGATTTGCCCATGCGCCTGATAATCTGTACTTCCTAGACCTTGGAGTTTTAAGTTAGCTCATCTGACTTTCACAGACATCAACTCTAACAAGCTGTCTGCCAGTATTGAAACAGCTGCTCCCATAACTTCAACTTGTTGGTCCAGAATCTGCTTCGACACTCTTTGACTTCACTTCAGAATTTTATCTTCACCTTTTCTTCTGTAGCTGTAAGTTCTTGTGCTTTTTCTTTGTTGCACAATTTCCATTTCTCTTGAAATTTTCCTTTAATAGAACTTTCTCTTTGATTTTCTGGTGGTGAAGATGCTGTTACCTTGCAATATTTTCTAAAGTTTGCCAACTATCCACATTCATTACACTTCGCATTACTGCTGAACATTCATTATGCTTGTGATTCGGTTTGACATTTAAATCTCAAACATCAGAACCACAATCCTAACCTAGCTCCAGGTTTCTAACTCTAACTGAGGCATTATGGGAATTAAGGATAGGTTACAAAGACATTCCAATAACTGAATAAAAACTGTTATTGATCATTGACAGTTGCATTTCCTGAACCTTGTGATTCAAAACAGTTCGTCCGGGAGAAGAATTGGCAGTTCCAGGAGTTGGATGCCCTTACACCTACCTCCTGGATCTAGCATGTCTGTCTGAGCAATTTCCATGATTAGGACTCATCCAATTTTCTCCATTAGGCATTCTATCCCCCCGCCACAGTACTCTGACCCTACACCTGCCAAATCCCCCAGCACCTCAATTTCTCACCCAAGTGGTCCAAAATACTTCCCAATTTCTGTTGATTTCCGATTTAACTACACCCTTATTGAGGTAGCCTTAAGGAGGACTGATTTTTCAGTGGTCAAGCTGGGCAAGGATCTGGGAATATTGCAAACCCAGGAAAGATTGAAACTGGAAATAGGAATGGAACCATGTGAAAGTAAAAGGAAAGGGTAGACTTGACACCTGAAAATAAAAGCTTATTTTGGTAAAGTTCCAAATGGAATAATGATTGAAGTGGACCAAAAACCAAGACAACTGTGAAAGGGTTGGGTCATTGCTGCTAAAGAGAAAGTTTAAAAGTGTG